TGTTAAAAAGAAGATCATTGATTTTGATTTCCACAACGGTCTTAAATATTTGGTAGGATTGACTGTATAAGTGTCAGTGGTGTCCAAAGTCATACACCAGTGGGGACCATTCCTACTGGAGCTTATGGACTCATTGTGACGGTGGCGAGGGACAACCACAATGTGTCAATAGTCACAAAGCCCTTGCAGCAGGTGTCAAACTGCCACCTTTGTACCATGATAAACTCCAAGCTAACAAGAAGGCAGCAAAGTCTTCCAAACTGGACTCCTATCTTTCTGGACAATCCTTCTCACCCGACCTAATCAACACAATTTTGGTCATGTGGGTTGTTTGGCATGCTTTGCCTTGGTCTTGGTTTGAAGACCAATTACCATGTTCAGCCTTTCATTGTATCAATCGTGGTGCTGTGATCCGGTCCAAAACTTGGGCCGCTCAGCAATCAGTTCATCTTTTCGCCAGTTTGCACAATAAGATTATCATCACCCTTAAGGTACGTCATCATAACTGAAATTCCCCTTCTGATTATCATCACTGATGTGTCTCAACTATTCTAGGAAAACAAAGGTAAATTTACCTTGATACACAACATCTGGACAACCAAGGGAAACCATTACACGTTTGTGGGAGCTGATCAACGCATCTTGTTGGAACAATAAAATGATGTGTCTAGTAGGACTCAAACCCACAACCCTCTTAATCCAGATGAGTACTCTGACCATTGAGCTATAGACGCTGTATGCCAATCATGTGGGGAGGCAGGTATGGCTCCTAGTATCAAGGCCGCCACAGATACGATACTAGTATCGGTATCGTGTGGCACCGTATCCGGTCACTTGGGTATTGTACCCTGAGTATCGTAGCCGGGCTACGGCTACGATACCCAAGATGATTTCTGGCGGTATCGCCGATCAGAGTACGGTATTTAGTATCGTACTCGGCCTCCGATACGATACCGGATACCCCGTTGTTGCAGTATCCGGACTGATTGGTAAGTCATCTATCCCCTTTCCAATCCAAATCTCCCTGCTTTGGATCATTCAAAGCCGATTTGGGCTTTTAATTCACCAGATTTTGGCTTCAATACGATGCCGTACCGTATTGTCAGCAAATTTGACGATACGGTATCGTACCGTATCGCTCTGTTTTGTGCGATACGGTACCCCACATACCTTGGAATGGTATCGTTAGAGACGATACGGTTCTGGGTATCGTATCCGGAGCCGTATACGATACCCAAAAGTCAAATATGTGGTATCGTGCAGCCGGCTACGGTACTGGTATCGCCGATACGATACCGGTACCGTATCTGTGGCGGCCTTGCTAGTATCAACATAGTGGACTTAAACCCCTATATAAAGTTGTACCGGTACAGTTAAATGAGCACATAACAACATACACTCAAAATGGTTGGATGGAGACACTTTGGTGCTCTTGCTCAACCCATTGGAAGATTATTCATCCGTCATGGCCTCCACAAGAAGATAGCTCCTCTCTACTTTCTTTTTTTATCTTAACACCTTTTTTTTGCTAATCATTATACATGTGACTTGATTACATGCTTGCTCAGACCACTGACAGTGGTGGGAACAACACTACAATGGCTACTGAGATGTCCACAATGTTTTCAGACAATGAAGACCCGGTCTTCTGGAATGCCTCAGGGCATCATATACGATGTTATGCGCATAAACTTAATCTAGTGGTTGGTCATGGCTTGAAAGCACTAGGCCAAAATTTTGGTCAATCAAAACCAACTACTCCACATGGAGTAGGTCTGCCAATTCCAGCACTGGAGATCAACAATGGCAATGGCAAGATACAAATTGACGAGCCCAAGTCTGAGGAAGATGAGGCTGGTCTACCTGACCAGCCTGATGGCTTTGATGATGACGACAAACCAAATGAAGAAGTGGAAAGTCAAGAATTTCAAGAGGATGATGTCGCATTGGCCCTCTCTAAGGTGAGTCTGCCAAGTTGCTCAATTTAAGTCCAGATGCTGATACGTTTGTGTATTTTGATGTAGGTTGTTAGCATCTCAGGCCAAATCGCCAGTAGCACGGCTCGTCGTAATGATTTCAAGGCACAATCCGCCCGTATGGGATACAAGGGCCGCATGCTCAAGCGTCCATGTAAGACACGGTGGAACAGCCATTACAAAAGTCGTCAGATTGCTTTTGAGGCTCAAGAGGTAAGTAATTTCCCCCATTTTGTAAATTTGTTTATATATTATATACTCATCTTCTTTATTACAGGTCATCAACTTGATGATTGTGGCTGATCGAAAAGCTTGTTTTTTTTAAGGGTGTGACGATTTCACCGGAAGAATGGCACACTGTAGAAATGGTGAACAAAGTCTTGAAGGTCAGCCCCTCTTGAGTTTCCTACTCTTTAAGTGGTATATACTGATGGTCATTGTAGACCTTTGTGGATGCCACCTCTTGGGTTGAAGGGAATGGCCCTACTGGATGTATCTTACTAGCTGAATATAAACGAGTAATTAACAAACTCACAAACCATCAGACCAAAGCATCAACCTTTCCAACCATCACCAAGTCAATTGATATCATGGTAGAGTGGCTCCAAAAGTATCATATGGAGGCGGCGGATTGTGAAGCCATCGTATTGGCAACGGTTCTCAATACCTGCTTTCGAGGCAAGTTTTTCACAATTCATTACCCAAACATCAGGAACCTTCACTGTTAGCAATAGAGACTGTGTTCAACAATCAATTTGAGGCATCTGAGTTGCGCAACACAAGTCCTTCACCTGAAGATGATGACGGAACTGCTGAGGCCGACAAATAGGACATCTTTGGGGTTGCAAGCGTGGGTACAGAGACTTTGGCCAAGTCTGATCTCAATGAATATCTCCTAGGAGCCTTCCCAATTAATAAGGATCAAACTCCACTTGGGTGGTGGAAGGTTGGTCCAATTCTGTATTTCAATTTGGAATTGGGATTTGTCCTTCTGACTCTTGGCTAAAATCTCTTGAATGTTTTCTTGTTCTGTTTTTCCAGGAACACGCACACCACTTCCCCACACTTTCCAAGCTAGCCTGAGATTATTTGTCTATCTCAGCTGGGTCATGCGCTTGCGAGCGTACATTTTCAGCGGCGGCCAATGTGTGTACACCTTCTAGAGGTAGCATGCTCCTGAAAACAATGGAGTGCCTTGTGGGGTCTCAAGCTTGGTTGAAAGAAGATATTGTGCCTGATGGTGTTTTTCAGGAGGCTGCCAAGGCGCTTGAATGCTACATAGCGGGTCTGAACAAAAAGAAAAAAATGTAGGTAAAGCAGTTTACAAATTTAAAGTATCATATAAATCCAAAGTATTAGGTAGTTTAGTTCCTTCTCTTCATTCTCTCTACTTTAAATACCTGATAGTATTTGAGAAATAAAAACGATTTCTTTTTCACTTGTCCCAAGTTTATGCGCTCATTATAGCCTTATAGCGCGCTATAACGCTATAGAGCGCACACCACTCATAGTGCGCTATATAGCGTGCGCGGAGCGTTTTTTTTGCTCCGCTATGTGTTGAGCCCAAAAATTGAAGAAATAGCCGTATGTGTGGGCAGCGGGTCAGAGCAGTATCTCCGCTCCACACTCAAAAAGGGTCGAGATCCCAAGTGGTGCGGAGCGGTTCTGGTATTAGACTGAAGTTGAATGTGTCTGTTTTTAATCTCCAAGTTCTTCTCAATTTGCTTTTCAATGCTGTAATTTTTTTCAGTTGGTCCTTCACATTTTGTTCACGGATTTGGTGGGTTATGAAGTTGACTTGATGGAGGTTCAAGATGGGGGTGCAAGATCTGGTTCATTGATGTTATCACATTGATTTCCAACAAACAGCAGACTTGTGGTGGTTTGATTTCCAGTGAAAGAACTGTTTACTGGTGATTGTTTATTGATATAAGCACACTGCTTTTCAACAAACACTAACTAGTGGTTATTGGAAAATCAGTGAATGGTTGATTTGTAGGTGATGGTATGTTGATGTGAATGTGATTGTATCATGTGGGGTATATTGATGTGAATGTGAATGTATGTGATGGTATGTTGATGTGAGTGTGTCATAGGGATGTGACAAGGGGTCTGGTAATTTTTGGTAAAGGGAATTGAGTAGAGATGATCCAACTTTATACCTTCTCAAGATTGCTTTCCAGGTGAATCAAAAGCAGAACTGGTGCTATCTTTGGCTCACATCTTCAATCAAAAGTCACAGCCAGTGGCTTTTAAAATGCTTCATAAGTTGCTGTGATGCAGTACATTTGATAAAAGATGTTTTCAGCAATACCAGTTCTGTAGTGCATCACCGGAGAGTGCATACTGTCAAAAGGCTTGTTGTCCTTTGAAAGGGTGTGACAAGATGTAAGTAAATTGATTCCAAAGATGCACAAATTGCACCACATACACTAAGGCCCCGTTTGGTATAGCTTACAAAAAGCGGGGACAATGTATTATTTTTCACTTTTTTCAAAAATACCGTTTGTTATTGCTTTTGCCCCTCTTTTCAAAATCCATTTTACTAACAATAATCTGGTATTTTGAAAGCTACTTTTGAGAAGCTTTCAAGTCCAATAATCCATTATAAAACCCAAGAAGCCTTCAAACATCTTCAAACTCGGGGCTCTGTCCAATCAATTATCAACATCACTTTTCATCTCAAATTCCACTTTACACCTCACCTTACAAGCTTTGCTTTTGGGATCAATCTTTTTCTCGTCCTCAATCTCTAGACTTTGGACTTTGGACTTTAGATCTTGTCTCTGACAAACCCTATATCTCTCCTCAAACCTCAACTTTCGAATCACTGGTTTGACAATCCAGCTCTTGTTTTTAATTGTTGTTATCCCTAAAGACGTAAGAAAAGACCTCCAGAAAGTATACAACAATCCCTCTGAGCAGATATTTCTGTGGGTCTGCTCAATTTTTCAAAGGGGCATGATCAGCTGAAGTCCGCTCTTTGATCTGTGCATTCACACCAAACATCTTCTAACTACACCAATGAGCACATCTACACCTAGGGTCACCCGTGCGATGGCACAAAACGATTTGACGATTGTTCTTTCAGAGCCAGGTGAAGACAACTTACCCAAAGTCAAGAGAAAACGTCTTCTGGAAGATATAGACCAGCGCAAGTGTGCAAAACCCCGGCAAGATATAACTCCACCAGCACCAAAATATATTGAGCTCAATGAATTAGGCGTGAGATTTCAGAAGATCAAGCTTTCTCAGGAACAAATGGTAAGCTTCTGGCCAGGCATATCTGCAATGTATGATCCTAGCTACTCACTATAGTTTTACTTAGGTCAAAAATCATGGTGAAATGGAGGTGCGTACTCTGCTCTTCGTGGGCATTAATTGATGAAGTCAATAGTTAACCATAATAACTTTTATCCAGGACAAATGCAAAGAGCGGCTCTCTGAATATGACTTCAAGCTAACTCGTCATTGTGAACTGATTGAGTCACTACAGACCATCGCAACCAAAGTCGCGGTGAATACTATGCAGCTATACTATGCCTAAGTCAAAAGCCACAGGCATTTAATTTATACCAAAATATTGATGGCTTGTTTTACACTGTTTTTGACAACCAGGGAAATGTAAAGGAAACGGTAAAATCAGCAACTACGTGCACTTCTGACTTTGCATACCTAGCTCAACAACCTGTCTTGCAGGGCGTCACTCAAAAGGAGCTTATATCATCTATCAGGTGGTCAGTACAGGAATTGGACAAGCTGGATAACACCATACAGAGCATAAAAACACATGTAAGGTCATTCTTTAACATGGTTGTCAACGTGTTGCTCATGTTCTATGGTTTTGCTGTCAAGTAGATCGTGACAGGTGCTGCTATGGAAGAAATACGGAGCATATGTATTGAAAAGCTTCAAAGAAGCCTCTCAGAATACACTCAAATTATATTGGAAGATGTAATGAATCACAAGGAGTTCAGAGAACTTGCAGACACCACACAAATTTTCAAACATCAAATGGTGACTCACATTAGTAGTACTCAGTTTGAGGTTGGTTTTTGTCTTTACTATACTACGGGAGAATGTTCAAAGCTTATCCTTTTGATTCAACATAGACATCTACATCCATTGCAGAAATCATCAAAGATATGCTCCACATCTGGGTGCAAACTGGGAGCCAAGAAACGGCACATCACATCTCAAAAAATTTCTTGGAATATTGAGAACTCAAAACCAAGCGTAGCACTCAAACAGCAGGTAAGATCTTCACCCCTGGACATCTTCCTTAACTTGATGCTTCATTTAGATGATGATGTGATTTGGTCTGTACTTCCCAGATATCCCAGATAATGCAACAACGTCTAGACATGAGTATATCAATGGGAATGGGAGATTTAAGTCATCATCTGGATAACCGGGAACAAGATGTGTGTAGTTATAATTGTCTCAACTGTTTTCTGCTTATCTTGTGTGAATCACATCACATTTTCAGCTACAACATCGGGTAAAAAAATGGAAGCAACAAATTAGTAATTGGGAGGAATCAAAAAGTCTCCTCATGGCGCAGTCCGTCCAGGTAATTCATTTGGCTGAAGCTTGACTTTGAAAACCCAATATCTGCGGTCTTTCAGGTCTAACGATTCACACTAACCATCACCCACATAATCCATGTCCAGAGCAAAGCAGATGAGCTGCTCCGTGACAGCACATTGGAAATGAATAATCAGGAATGTGAAAGTCTGAAAGACAAGGTTTGTTCATTCTTCACTGCTTGTAAGCTAAGAACGTCCTAACCACTGGATGGAATAGATACAAACCCTTCAGGAGAATGTGACATCCTATGAGTCTACTATGAAATATCGTGGTTCACAGATTCAGGAGGTATGTCTCTGCAAACTGATTATGGTCCAAAACTTCAACCCCTTTGAATTTTTTATGTACATCCCACATATAGCTGAATACCAAATTAGACAAGCTATCTTTGTTGGTGGCATCGCGTGGTACAGTCCACTCAAGATTTCTCTCCAACCTGCCAGATATGATACGGCCAGCTGACCAGTGGAAAGAACTCCAAACAGTACGTCCAATGTCATATCACAACAGCATGCAACCTTCTGAATTTAACACCTTCTCTTTAGTACGCAACAGAGGTTGTGCATTCGACTCTTGAAAGCTTGAGTGCATCACCCTCAAATGGAAACAAGGGTGTCTCTGTGGTATGTCGTATATGTATTTCATGGAACTTGGTTTTGCAAAAGAATATTCTTGTACTAAGTCAAATATCTGTCCCTTACCTAGTAAAAAACCAGCATGGCTTCTCCCACTTCTCCCAAGAGGTAATATACTAGCCGTTGTATACTATTACTCCATCTCCAATTGTGACTCTGAGTGTTTTGTGTTTTTGAGTTTTTTGGATTGGATTGAAACCCAGCTCACCAAAATCCAGGATGTTATCCAATGGTTCCCCAGGAGGGGCAATGCCTCTGGGATTAGGTCATTGAATGAGAAAAACGACAAAAACGCTGGCGACAACACCGGGGGTGTTGAAGAAGAACCAATGACTGAGCCTCACCATCATCAAGACTTCCGAACACCAGGACAAACAGCTGCCGATGAAAGGACAAGTCAAGGGAGACAAGCACCTTACAAAGAAGCAGACACCACTGCGATACCTTCGACCTCAGGTTCTATTCGACAGAACTCAATAACTCCTAACTTAGTTCAACGCAAGAAGCGCACCAAAAGACGTATTAACCTGGACAAAGAACCAAGTCAAAGAGTTTCACCACGGGTTGAGAGGAGTGATGTGGAGAGGCGTGTAGATCATTTATTGGTATGCCACTTGTAGTTTTGCAGACTCCTTATCAAATTGTGCCACAAACTGATACATAGGTATCTTTTAGGCCAAGTCTTTACAAAACCATTTCCATTGTCTTTCTCAGGAACACCGCAATAAGATTCCCCTCCTTTTGTACCCCTCTACACAAGAGCTGCCGGCCTTGATTGTGCTTAAAGAGGTAGATGAGTGTAATAAACTTACTGAAGGAAGTGGCCTTTTAGGCCCTCACTCTAGGAAACTTCTCACTCCAGAAGAAGTTAAGCAAATTGGACGTGAAGAGCCCAAAGAATCCGAGGAGCAAGACAACATAGCTGGGTTTATCAGCAACCCAGGGCCCGACTTTCTCAAAACTTGTTGTGCCACAGCAATGCGTTATGGTATATCTCACATTTCATGGGCATCTGAATGCAAAAAGGATCCGAATTTAGTGGACTGTATCAGATGGAATCGCCAAATCCAAGCCCTTCGGTGGACACCTTTCTGATGGGGTTTGACAAGGATGTCTTTGGGAAGCTCTGTTACCAAGAAATACAAAAGCCTACAGTAACCCAGATTGGTAAGATGTTTGATACCCATATTCAGTATTGAGTAAAACTTAGGAAGAGAGAAGAGGAGAAACCTGGGACCATAGCAAAACTTGCCAAGGACGATGCTGAGCAAAAGCGACGTAAAAGTGTAAGTCCTTGATGTATCCCCAGAGGCAAGTGTTGCCTTTACCAAAATTATTGATCTTGATAGTATTATACATCTCTTCTAGCTTGCAGCACAACGGAAGGCAACGTGTAAAGCACCAGAGAACAAAGAATTGAATTGCTTTGCATTCCTTTTTGATGATGATCGCCTATGTTCAAGTGATGAAGCATCAAATGAGGGTTACAACCTTTTTGTAAGAATCCCAATGACTAGTCGACACCCAACAGCAACAGGACTTATGGAATACATTGATAAGTTGAGTCTGTGTCAATATCATACATGCAAGCCCAAGAGACCAGGTTGCCCACCAAGAAATTGACTCCCTCCAAAACCTCATACAAGCAAAAATACTGTCTCTCTACCAGCGCTAGGATGTCCCCGCAATACTTATGCAGAATCGGCCTTTGAGAACAGGTCAGAGGAAGAACTGGCACAATTGGAAATGACATCTGAGATATTTTTGGAGGAGGACAAATGTTGTTTTGGGGGGAGGTGATGAAACTTAATTTATTATGTCGGCTTTCTCAATCACTCCCAAATTTGATCATTCTATTGACGTACGCAAGATTCCTCCTGGATAAACAAAATCAACTCTGAGTGTTATATATGGTGGTGAAACACAAAGAGTGGGACCTTCAGCTATTTTATCAATGATAACTTTTACACCTTCTGGTTTGTAATAAGATGCGTATTTGTTTTGATGCTTTTTCTTCATTAACTTTTGGTACAGGGTTTTGTATTTGCCTTGAAATAGGTCCTCCCCATTTCAGCCCATCAAAATAGCGGGTTGTGTTCAAAGATTATTGGAAAAAACCTTACAAGAAAGTGTGAGAAAGTCACGAAACTCCCCAGTACAAATGATCATGTCCTACAACTATTATTTTTTATCAAAATTATGAAAATACCTTAACATGATGTATGAAAATGCATTCATATGATGTACACCTTGATGCACTTTAATATAGAATTTTTACAATAGGAGGCCTGCCTATGGGGAACAACATAAACACCCAATCAAGTCTTAAGCTTGATTTGGTTGTCTGAAGACAAAAAAAATTATTCTACAACATGTTTGTTGGTGACACACAAAGAAAATTATCCATAACATTATTCTTAATGGTTGCCAACTGTTGCCGAGTTTTCAATTTTTTGAAAGCATAAAAATGTGATTATTGTATACACACCCTACAAAACATCTTTTTTTCTCAGACAGTTGAGCTCATTTGGGTGTAAATTGAGCATCTATGCCTTGGCCTTACAAACTTACACCTAACCAACATACCAAAGTGAAACTTGAATTTTACAAACAATTTCTCATTTCACACGCTTCAAATATTTGTAGGTATTAGATTACTGGTGGTCAATAGATATTTTGAGATCATATTATATTCTCAGTTACTTTTTTATTTTATTTTTTACTGTACTTTGCAGTTGTGTCATCATCTTAAGTCTTCTCTCCTGTTTGTAGAGTTATTGTTTTTTGAAATCAGAAAGCAAAAAATTTGTATCATTTTTATATATACATGTTTAGTAGTTCTGTTGGTTATACTATATTATTCTTTTTACAGTCTTATTTTTACATTATTTTTGATTGTATTATCCACTAAAGCCAGCCTGTAGGGTGTTGTGTGTGATTGTTAATTTCAAACAAAAGTCTTAGCCCAGTCACTTTTATGGTTATATATGTTTCTAATTCCATAAGTACCAGGTGGATATTTCATGATTTAGAATTTGAAAGTTACAAAAATCAACACTGTTCAATAACACTCTTAATTTGTAAATTACATCCAGATCTAATCTCTCTTGTGCTTTGGACAACTTTGGATGGTAATTGTTTTCCCCTGCATACTTCCAACTCCAATAGAATGGTCTGTTATGAGATCATAACATATTCACTTGCAAGTGAATATACCAAATTTGATAATGATACACTACACCAAATGACATCTTTTCCCAGGGGTATAGAAAAGTAGTGCTGGCATAGAAAACTATACATAGATTAATTTTCTATACCCATAATAAATATCTTTTGATACATCATGTATAATATTTGAGATTGAGCAATTGAGTATTGTCTTTGAGCTGACTCAGCTGTATGTATTGGGACCCAAAGGGAGCCACCACAAGGTACAGCATCTTGATTTCCTATTTTTATTATTTTCATTCAAAAATACATTTCTATGCTCATAAAAGATATTCTCACACATTCTCAGCAACATTTGTGAGCATGAATGAACAATCTTACACAGATTGACAGATCCCATTTACGCACTTACATCATTCCTGATGGATCATGTTGGCCCATTCAAGAAGGCTTGAGAAGAACATTGTGTATAGGCTTAAATGTAGTTTACATGCTTGTAGAAATGTTGTTATCTGTGGGTATAGAACGGAATGTTTTGTATGGGCATAGTGCACTTGATCTCTATGGGTATAGACAAGTACTCTACAAAAGGTTTTCTATGCACGCACTACTTTTCTATACCCCCGGGAAAAGATGTCATTTGGTGTAGTGATAATGGAAATGAAAATAGAAATTATTCTTCATATTCCAACTTGAAACTTAGCTGGGGCTGTGATTGAAGTAGAGGAAGAAGACAAAAATCAAAGCTGTGATAAGGATTTTATGGTTTTTGGATTACATCTTTCATTACTGAACATGAGAATATTTTATGTTCTGTTTGGTTTAGTTTTTTTTGTTTGATATTCATAGACAAGCAAACTTACTCAAAAAGGCATTGTGATCTACAACTAGGGCCAGGCCATGCGGTTTTTACACTAGATGTTTATTTATACAATAGTAGTTCAATATCTAGGAGTAATTTGAATGGAGATCTATGGAGATACATATGATGATTGGGATGAGAATTTTTGAGATGTCTGAAGCTCACACTGGTGGAAGCTCAGGATTCATTTCAAAGCTAGTTACACAACTAGGACCCTCCAAAAACAATACATAGCAGAAAACTTCAGCACCCCTTTTTTAACTTGGCTAAGTTGTTTTTGAACCCATAAACAAGGTCAGATTTTTTCCCCTTGGTTTTGTGAGGTTGGCAGAACCAATCCCCCAAAAAAACAAATTGTTAGTAAAAACAACCAAACAAATTAAAATTCAAATCTGCTCAATTGTTCAGCTCAATTGTTCAAGAAGTGCTGCTTATATCATACTCAAGTCACTAGCCGCATCTGCACTCACAAATCACCTTTATTCAATGATTCAGGAAGCCCGACCTATCCCAAAAGGATTGCTTAAAAGATGAGGTTTCAACAACAATGCAAGTGTTGCTGAAAAATTTGGTATAATGATCAAGCACACATTTTGTCACTTGAGGCAAGCTTTGTATATAATGGTGACAGTTTTGTGGATATGGCTTGTGATCAGTAAGTGTAGTAGTAATTCACTTCAGCTATGACATTGATATTCACCTTATCCCATCCAATTCAATCTCTTTGTAGAGTTGTATCAAACAGATCAGATGCTACAACAATTGGAATTGCGACTGCGCTATATTGAACAGTCACACCAACAATTTAATCAAACCACAGCATACAATCATTACAAGGCAATCCCGAATGATCACTCCACGCTACCAAACGTTGATCACTATCTCAACACGGCAATTGAAGCAAGACAGCTGGCCAACAAAGCTTATGAACAATGTATAGAACACAAGAGTGGCCTGAGGGATTTTGCTTTCTTACGAACCGGTGGATATGTGATACTGGATTTGACTTCCAGCTCATTCAAATTGGACGACAAGGTGGCCTCAATTAGAGCAATCAGTAATTTCTCACCATATAAGCATATGCTTGACATCCAACCCAATATGACACTGCAAAGTGATGGCACAATCGGTCTCTGTTGGTGCTTCCAAGGCTCCACTAATCAAATAGGGATTGGACTTAGCCACTGAATCAAAATCAGTACAGTAGCAATTCAGCATATTGGGATAGAGTTGGCGGAGGAATCTATCACTTCAGCACCTCGGGACTTTGAGCTCTGGGGGATTGATGATGACGAAGGCAGTGGGATGCAGCTAGAATTTCTAACAAAAGGTGTCTATAACATTTCTCATAGTTCCATTAGGCAGGCTTTTAATATAGATAGTGTAAAGGAGTCGCAGGTATTTGATAAGATAGTCTTGAAGGTCTTATCAAATTACAGAAACCCTAATTTCACCTGCCTATATCGTGTTAGAGTCCATGGAATCTGGGCAATGCCATGATTTGATGCTTTCATATAATTCTAATTAAATACAAGTTGATAATTAAAACGAAGAGATGTTCAAATCTGAACAACTACCTCAAGGTTTTCAATGGAGATCTGTCTGCTCTGCCTTGTGCAAGAGTTCTTTCACAGAATTGGGGGCAAAACAAAATCCACAAAGATCTATAATATAAAGGCACGAGGCTTGACGACCAAGCAGTGTTTCGTACGCCAAGGCCGAACCCCATTACCTCATCCACATTCCATGCTGCACTCAATAGCCGACCAAGGATCCTGGGTCAATCGGCAGGGCGTTACCCTTGCTTTGTGTGTGGAACCACCCAGACAGAGCCCTTTCCCCAACGTAGCAGTGACCGCGACCAATCCAGCCAACTTTCCTACGCCATGGACAGTTTATATTACATCATCGATATGGCCATGTTACGTACGATAGCGTGCAAATACCAACGAAGGCTCCAGAACCATTCGCAGGTCCAGGTACTCCTACTTTGTCCGCAATTATCCGCAAAACCACCCGAACCCTTTGCAAAGCAAGCACGAGTTATGTTAGGCTTTGAAGGTCG